GCCAAAATTGAACTTCTGGGATTCTGGACCCCTGAAACATTATCTTTTATTTCCTGGAAAACAGCTGCAATGACTATTGGCTAACACCAATAAAAAAACATATTGAAATGAATGGATGCTGTATGGATTCTGAGTATTTAGTGTCTCTTGGTGCAGCTAAACTGCAACATTGGTTTTCACAGGATAGAAACAGACACAAGTCACTCCTCTTCACAGCACACTGGACAAACCAAATTCCGACCATTTCTATTTGCACCTTGGTTCGCTCACAATGCCCAAAGGAGCTTGGTTCTACCCTTCTTGATGTTGAGTTCCTGCATGGCCGGGGGTTGGACTGGATGGCCCTTGTGGTCTCTTCCAACTCTAGGATTCTATGGTTCTATTATTCTTATTAGCCTTGTCCTCCTGAAGTTGAAGTCACCCTTGGGTGACTTAACTGAAAGGATTTGTTTTCTTAGTTGTTTCTTCCAGAAATGCTGAGCCTCCTTCCCCTTCCCAAGGACAACAACGCTTCCTGTGATGTCACACAGAAGATTATGACATCAAACGTGGGGAAGAGATTAGTGGCAAAGCCAAAACCACCCTTGTGCCAAGGCAAAGGGCAGAAGAATAGAGGGACTGCTAAGCATTAAGACAAGCTGGCTTGAAGCGCTGACTCCATCTCTGCTAAAGCGGTCCAAAGAAGCCAAGCGTTGGCTAAAAAGGCTTTCTAATATGCTCATGATGAAAGCATGTTCATTCCTAATCCAGCAGAATCTATCTCTCAGGCTGTGCTAAAGCATCTTCCTAAAGCGGCTTTTTATATATTCAACGCTTTCGCCTTTGGGTTGAAGGTGGAAAGGCTCACTGGATCCGATCTGGCTGGGGACATGGATTGCCACAAGCGGCATCTGTAACAGCCTCTCGGAAACCCACAAAGCAGGGCTTGAAGGCAAAAGTTCTTTCCAAACTTTGCTGGTTTATAGTGGTGTACTGGTTTCTACTGACCAGTATGGTATAGTGGTATAGAGCTAGAGATGGGGAGGAGATTTGTAATAATAATAACAATAATAATAAAATTTATTTATACGCCGCCCCTCTGCAACGCATTCATGCCATCTGCAAAGTACCCACTAAGCCATGAAACTCAGCATTAAAACATCTCTCTCACACACCTGCCAGAATTTTTTTTTTGTAGAACTGTTGTGAGGATAAAGGAGGTGGAAGAGGAGGACAGCCATGTT